GGGGGGCGCCGCCGTCTGGGGGCGCGGTTCTGTCCGGGGGGCAGCCGCGGTGGGGGTTTCCCAAGAAGAGGAGGGGCGGGAGGAAGGAAGGAGAAAGAAGCATCTGGCCTGTCCCATTCTCCCGGCAGTGCCGAGAGCGAGAGCTGCGGTGAGTCCCGGATGTAAGGCCCCAGTTAGAAATTGGGCTGGAGGAGTCCTCAACCATGGAACTTGTAAGAGTATAATCTTAACTGTGCTTAGTCCTCAAGATTCAGGGTGGATGATAGGAAAAACCTGGGGAATAATGTTGTGGGAAGAAGGAAAAGACAGAGGAGGACTGATTTTTTTATTAAAAAAGAAATAGCACCTTCAGATGTGGAACCAATAGGTCCAAATCCAATCACTGTGAACAAAGGACCGCTGTCGGAAAGGGCAGTGGATACTACCTCAATTAGTAGTAGCACAGGGGGAGTGCCAGAGCACTCTCAAGAAATTGAGGCAGCTACAGTTCCTCTTTGGAAATTATTAATGGCAAGTTATCAATTGCTAAATGCCACAAATTCAGACTGGACTGAGCGTTGTTGGTTGTGTTTTGATGTTAAGCCTCCATTTTACGAAGCCGTAGGGGTAACATCCAAACCTAAGTACGTGAAGGGGTCTAATCCAACCCAGTGCGAATGGAACAGGAAAGATGGACAGCAGGAGGGAATATCTGTATCACAAGTGTCAGGACAAGGGTTGTGTTTAGGAACCATACCACCGTAGAAAAAACATTTATGCAAAGAAATAATTAACCTTGAAAGTGAACATTTTGTAGATGAGTTATTACCAGATAAAAATGCCAAGTGGATTTGCTCAAAAGCGGGCTTAACACCCTGTCTTTCATTAAAGGTATTTAATAAGAATGAAGAATACTGTATACAAGTAGTAGTGGTCCCTAAAATCATATATCATCCAGAAGATTATATGTATAATTATCCAACTGCGCAAGAACACCATTTACAAAAAAGAGAACCCATCACTGCACTAACGGTGGCAACTCTTATGGCTATTGGAGCCGCCGGAGCTGGAACTGGGATAGCATCCCTAGTACAGCAAAACCAAAAGTTCCAATTTTTGAGGGCTGCAGTAGATGAGGATCTCTTAAAAACTGAACAGTCTATCAGTGCCTTAGAAACCTCTTTAAGATCTTTGTCAGAAGTTGTTTTACAGAACAGGAGAGGACTGGACCTCATGTTTTTGCAACAGGGAGGGTTGTGCGCAGCTCTAAAAGAATGCTGCTGCGTACGTGCAGACCACACCGGAGGGGTAACAGATAGAATCACCAAATTGAGAGAAAGTCTGGAAAAACGTGACAAGGAAAGGGAGCTGCCACAAAATTGGCTTGAAACATGGCTCAGTAAGGCTCCTTGCCTTACCACCATATTATCTACTACAGCAGGACCCTTGGTGTTATTAATAATTGGGTTAACCTTCGGGCCATGTACATTTAATAAAGTGGTCTCTATTGTGAAAGGCAGATCAGAGGCAGCACACTTAATGGTAATAAAAACACCGTATGAACAAATTAAAGAGATAGAAGAAACCCCTGTTCCAAACGAGGTTTGTGATGGGTTAAGGAGATTTGAAGAACAAAACTAGTTAAAAGGGGGGAATTTTAATAAAAACTATATGACATTTGTTATTCAAATCTCAAGCTATGGTTAAATATACTATTCAGTAAGTTAAATCTAAAAAGAAATGGTGTTAATATCTAAAAAGAAATGGTGTTAATATCGGATTGTGTTGTAACTGAACTTTGTTGTGGTCAGACAGCGTTACGGTTCTAAATGTTTTCGCACTTCGCATGTAACCTAAGGTGTAAAAAGAGATAACGCATTATGTATATCGGTTTTTATGGTTAAAACCCGCTGTTAAAAGCGAGTTAAAAGGGCCGCCGCCCCCAGGCCAGACGGCGTTCTGCCCGGCCCTGTCTGGCCCGTGGATACCTGCACCCCTGTGCTGAGCCGTCCCCTCCTCCCCGCGGCGGAAAGCCGCGAACCTTCCCTGGCAACAAAAGCCCGCCCCAGAAAAGCCCGCGAAAAGTTGCTGACGACCTGTAGACCCCTCAGGGAGCACCCCCTCATGAATATTCATGCGGCTGCACTTTAAAGACTCCGTTTGGGGGTGTAAGGTGCATGTCTGGGTGCAGCAAAGGCTGCCCGGCACACCCGGCGCTGTTTTGCTCACTTTCGCTTGCTAATAAATTTTACTGCCCACTGAAACAAATGTGAAGGTGGTGATTTCATTTTAAATTATGATCAACCCCGAGCAGCGAGGAGGGACGGCGCAGCGCGGGGGGGCTGGTATCCACGGGCCAGACAGGGCCGGGCGTAACGCCCTTGGCTTGAGGGCGGCAGCCACGTGAGCTCCCCTTTAACCGCTGGTCTGAACCATCAAAGCCACAGACATAATGCCTGATTTCTTTTAAACCTTGGGTTACATGTAAAGTGCAAAACATTTAGCAACTTTGCACATAAGAGAATCGTAACGCTGTCTGACAGTTACAACACAGCCTGACATTAACACCGTCTCTTTTCCTATTTAACTTACTGAATAATATATTTAACCATAGCTGGAGATTTGAACAACAAATGTCGTATAGGTGTTATTATACCCGTGTCCCTCAGTTTGCATGGCCAACTGCCAGCAGACAGGATATTTGTGAGATATGTTTGTCGGATTCGTGCCCACGTGAGTGATCAAAATGCAACTCTCTTAAGTATGAAATTCTTAAATGCTTCTGTACGTTTTTTTGTGGAGCCACAGGTTTCAGGGAAATGAGGTGTCCCGCACACAGCTCTGGGTGTTTAGACCAGTTATTTTTAAAGACAGGAACAAATACGGCCTCCGTCACCAAACCAGACAGCAGTCACGGCTGCAGGAACACCTGCCTGGGTCGTTCTCCCCTCCAGGATGGAAACCTGAGGAAAGCCCGGGCAATTTGACTAAAAGCCCGGGAAAGT